AAATAAAACTAAAAAATTAAAATTAAAAAATGATCACAAAAATAGCCATCTTTTTTTATTCTGCAATACTTTGGAAATATTCATCTTCATTCCCAGGGTCAGAAAATTCCATCACTCTCTAGGTTGGGACTGCAACTTCTAGGGTTCTCAGCCTGGCAGCTCTATTGCATTCAAAATGCATGAAGAGGAAATAGAGGCTCAGAAATCTTTCTAATGCTCATTTTATCTGTAGAAATCATAATATACCTCTGGTGTTTATACAGAATGGCTACAAAAATCATATCTACTAAAAAATAGAGGAGTCTTATACAGTAATTCCTCACACATTTTTATAAACTCATGAATTTTAGTGTATATGAAGCATGTGGAAATGATACAAAAATAATGCATATCCCTTTGAGTAAGTGTTGTATACGTTGGTCCCCAGAACTGTACAATTAAGTCTACATTCTGTATAGGGGAATAAATCTTTGAGCCCCTAACCTTAGGGACTTCATCTGAAGATAACAGATCAGGAGTTCTAGGTTCAAACACAGCATCACATGGAATTTAAGGACTAGGGTGGGAAAAAAACTCAGCTCTTCTAACAATCCAAATAGTCCTTTCAGTTTTAGTCAGCAGCAATTGAACCAACAGCCAGTTTCAGTGCAGATGCAATTGCTAAATATCTAGGCCTGTACTTCCACTTTTCTAACGAAAACATTTGTCTACTACAGTATTGCAAAAATAGATATTCCATTTTAACTTTTTATTAGTCTATACAAGGCATCTGGCAATGTTGAGCATTCTGGAAACTAAGGGTAAACAAATCATTACATTAACATTGAATCTATTTAAAATCAACCAAGCATGAGAGCCTATAAAGAAAAAGATTAGAACTTGTACAGTGCAGTGATATGTAGACCATGTTGCATAATAAACAGGATTACCTCTCAAGCAGCCCTCTTATGTGATCCCCTTAAAATAGACACAACATGAAAAGTTGCTAATGGAACTACAAACACGGGAGAAGAGAAGGACCATCTAGTTGCATGGGATAGATTGGGTTGTGGAGATTCAGAAGAGCCCTACACAGGAAATAATTTAAGGCACAAAGGTGAGAAAAGAATCAGAGGTACTTGGCTTGGTGATTTAGACCATGGGTAGGCAAGCATAAAGCTTGATTTTTTTGTTTACCTCTCCCTACTCTCCCAGCACTAACCAATGTCTAAGTGCAAAAGGCACATATTTTGCATTAGAAGGGACATACAGGTGTTCTGTCTCGGTGCCTGTTAGTCTATCTTCTATCAAAAATTTGGGACAGGTAATAATTATTGGTGAGTAATTCATTCCTGCTATTTTTCCAGAAGAGAACTTGCTTCTGGACGAGGGTTAAGTTTTAGACATTTATACTCTTCTTATATTTCTGATTCTGCTCACTAAAATGCTGGAGAGGACACAGTGAGTTGATGAGCTGCTATCTCCAGCCAAAATGGATATAAAAATGGATTTGGAAGGCTTAAGAGTTATGACTGGCTTTAAGTTACCTTTAATACAAACGGAGTTCAAACAACAGAAGAAAAATGATGAACATTACCCAGAAAAGCATATTGTTGAAAATGTGGCATTCACAGTGAAGCAGCTGATTTTGGAATACAGCTTTTTAAACAGCGAGCCAATTTGTGCCTTCATTTTTAAAAAGCCATTTTAAACCCTTTGGGGGTCTTTTTTAGCAAACATTTCCCAATTACACCTTTATTGGACAAATATGCAAGAAAAAACATTATTTTCAGGGATGTGCAAAAATTATTAGTTTGGGAACAGAATTTCTGGAGACTGTGCTAAGCTTCCTTAGGCCCATGTTGCTGAACTGCTTCTGGCAAGATTTTGGGGTGCTCCTGGCATGCCCCCCCACTGACTAGTTTTGCATATCTCTAATTGTTTTGACATCAAAACATAATGTAGTTCTAAAGGAAGACAAATGTGAGTCTCAACTAATCTTCAATATAGGCTGTTTTCAGCTTTTCATATACAAGTGCATGAAGCTGTAAGCAGGGTACAACAAAGGAGAAACGGGAAGCAGCAGCTGCCTTAAAGTGAACATGGGCACTGTCTCACTACTTGTTCCGGATGTCTGAGTCTGACTCATTCACCAATACCAGTGTCAAGTCCAATTTCTAAAATGAGGCCAACAGGAAACAATTCCTCTGGGGTTTCATTCAGCAAACACAGGCTCACAGACTTTTTGCTTTTTTAACCACAGGGCCGTTCCATTCCATTCTATTCTATTTACAGGTCCTTCAGCACAGCAGTTTCCAGTTCTTTTCTGAAATATATAAGGAAGAGCCTTGGGAATTGCCACGTGCTGCTACATCAGAAGAGAAAGCACAGCTTTGAATTGCTCTTGTCTCCAACCACTTGTGCAGTCATTGTCTCAGAAGGTTTGCACGATTAATTTCCGCTTTACATCACGGCTGAACTTGTTCATCTTGAACAGGTCGCTATCGAAGAAGGCAGAAAGGTTGTGGATGTTGATCTGGCGAGCCTGGCAAGGAGAAAGGGGGAGGGACACGAATAGTTAAGAAACAATAAAATTTGCAGAAAAATGCTGGGTTTAGCCTAGCCTTTCCCTGCACTTAGAGATTCACTCAAGCATACAGTTTGGCCAGGGATGACTTAAACTTTTGCATACAATTATAGATTTGCAATATCTACTATTCACAATATTTGTCTGTATGTCTAACCTGAATGAATGCCCATCTCACCATAGCAACTCTAGGCAGCTAACAACATATATAAACAGAATCCAAAATAACATCAAAACAGTATAAAAAGCCTATAAAAACAGCTGAGGTAAAACCAAAATCTACAATAAACTCAGAACCACAACCACATGGGTTCCAACTAACTACCCAATCCCCAAGCCTGGGAACATGTCTATGTCTTCAATGCTTTTTGATCGGCTAGCAGAATCAGAGCCAATTGAATCTTGGGGGGTACGGTATTCCAAAGGACAGATGCTGCAACAGAAAAGGCACACTTCCTGGGCCCCACAAGGTAGGATTCTTTAATTGTCAGGACCCCCAACATGCCTTTTCTGCCAGACCTAACAGGATAGGTAGGAACAACGGAGGAGAGGCAGTCCTGCAAATAACCTAGCCCCATGCCATGAAGGGCATTCTAGGTGACAACCATACCTTCAGCTGTACCTGGAAGCATAATGAGAGCCAGTACAGCTTGCAGAGCAGAGGCTAACCAAGATGCACCCGTAACTGTGCATGGTACCACATTCTGTACCACCTGCAGTTTCTGGATGTTCTTCAAGGGCAGCGTCATGTAAAGTTCATTGCAGTAGTCCACTTGGAGGCGACCAAGCAGGATTATTGTTATATTGGATGTACCGCATGGGATCCCCAATGTTCTCTTCCCAGATAACACTGACATTTGGCAACATACTGCCAGCATAGGCTGCAACCTTTCCCTCATTTTCACAGAAAATAAAATGGGTCCGTTCAACAACTGAAAGTCCCGATGAATCTATAAAAGTGCAATCCAGCCCAGCAACAACAAAGACAACAATAGAAAAAAATCATCCCCCCCAGTCTCTCTCCCTCCAGTGAGATCATTCCCTCATCATGATGTCCTTATGATCCTGAGCCACAAAAAGCCTTTGTGCTAATTTCTCGCATTTCGGGTGTCACAGGAATACAGGGGAGGGACCCAGCAACTTTGCCTGTTGCTGTAATATCTCACTTTATTTATTTATATTTCGAATTGGTCACTGCCCATCTCACTGTGGAGCGACTCAGGCTTTTCTCTACTACACAAGACCTAGTGCTCACAGCTCACTTATTCAAAGCTTGGAAAGGGAAACTCAGAAGATGCAGAATGATTAGATTTAGCTCCTGGCACAATGCCCACAAAAGGGAAAAATGCTCCATACCTTATCAATTAAGTCTTTCTCCGGCACTTCAGTGGTGTCCTGCTGTGCTCCGTAGCGATTCCTCTGATACATCACCTGTTCTGATACGAGTTGTTTCAAAATGAACAGCAAGAGCTCATTGTTATCCCGCCTGAAGGCAAGGTACCGGGCAAAAGTCTGTGTGCAGCAAAGAACAGAAAGGGAGGCAGGAATGAGCCAGGAACAATTTGAAATTATTTATTTATTGTACCTATAGGCTGCCTTAACAAATAACTCTAGGAAGCTGACACCAAAACGAATACACGCACACAAAGCAGAACATGAACTCATCCCAGTTAGTACAAATACAGCAACATCCCTGAGCATTCACTCCACTGATCCCCTAATCACTACCAATCCTATCTGAAAGTTCATTGGAAAAACCCTGTTCTTACAGTGTTTCTGACATGCTAGTAAGGAAGAAGCCATTTCCACCTGGGGGATGAGTTGTTTCAGGGTGAGGGGGCTACGGCCAAGAAACCCTGTTTCCCTTTAACATTTGGGAGGGGAAAAGTCTGCACCGCCCCCTCTCAGCTTGCATGTATCAGGTGAGCAAATTCTATGTCCTTAGAGAGAGCAAGGACCCAAGCCATGTAAGGGATCTCTAAGGGCTAACCTGCACCTTGAAGTAGACCCAGAATCCTTCCAGGAGACAACGCAGCTTGTACAAAATTGGCATTCCCCTGGTGGACTGGCTTCTACCAGTCAACAGGCAGGTGAGTACATTGCGCACCATCTCCCAGGGCAGCTCCGCTAGAAAGTGAATTGCGGTAATTCAAAGGAGAGGCGATAAAGGCATGGATTACTGATGCTAAAGACTCCCTTTTGAAAGAGAAAAAAGGAATGCTCCAAAGGTCTATTTCAACAAAATATTGTTGCCTCTGATGTAAATAAAGGGATTAATCACTGGCCAGTGTAAATTTAGTACTGGCCTATTGAAGACACTTTGAGGATTCACTCTTACCTTCTCAAGGGAGCAAACAGGACTTTTCAAGGAAGCCTGGATACTGAATTGTTAAAGAGAGAAAAGGTCCCATGACAGCTTTCCCAGGATTTAACCCCAGTATTAGGTTGCTGACGCTCACATATTAATTACAAACCCCAGGCAAGAACAACAAGAGAGACATAGCAAATAGTTAATATGTAGTTAACTGAAAAAAGTTTTCAAAGCTGAAATTTTGGTAGTTAATGAACAAGCATTTAAAACATGAATTAGGAATCAATTTTGCTGAATTTTGGCCCTATTTTAATTTGCTTAATTTATTTGATTTAGGCACGGCCCAAATCCAAATGACTCTAGGTGGCTCACAACAAAAATAAAATGAAGTAGAATAGAACACAATTCAAAAACAGGTAAGGTAGAAAACAAAATAATGTTTTGTTTGACTTGGACCGTCAACGACTGGGGACAGATCCATGCAGCCATCAACTCCTGCACTGCCCAGGCCCAACATCGCCACGCAGATTAGAATCCCCAACAGCCTCTGCGATTCTATCCCCAGCCCAGCAATGGAATTCAGGAATGCAGGCAGGGATGATGCTGGGCAGCAAGAAGGGAGGCAAACCAGCAATCCCAGCTGTTTACTAGAGCCCAACATCAGCAAGAGCATCTTACATCCGGTTATCTGTGGAACAGAGCCTTTCAGGGCCTGCAAGGACTCGTGGGTAACAATAGCCACACCTCCCCCTCTTTCCTGGGGTCTCAGTTGATGGAAACCCTGAAACCCAGGTGGACACAATTCCAAGAGGACAACACTCCCCTCTGGGCTCACCAGGTTTGGTGAGACATGCCGGGTTGGTGCCTTCATCTAAGACAAAGGCATGAATGAGGGAAACTTTATTACACATCGACCTGGTGTTCAGAAGCAGGACACTGAGGGTAGAAGTTGGGGCTGGACACCGGGATCACTTTCAAACAGTGGGCTCAGTGTCCCTAGGGCACTCCATCCCCAGGTTCCCACCATACATCCCCCTACCCATCACTGTCCCAGTGCTCCTGCCTCCCCTCTGTTTGCCCCCCACACTTTACTCCTTCCTCCCAAGCTAAAGTACACATACCCAATCATATGCACACCCAACACAATTCCCCAAAAACCCACCTTGCCCCACAGGGAACACAACCATCCTGAGGCCACACCCGCCAAGCACTTGGTGGCCTCCAGGGGGACAGGCCCTTGTAGAGAAAGAACAACAGGCCCACTTACCACCCACCCTTCAAAATGGGAGAGACCATTACTAAACAGTCTGGGGCAAGGATCTCCAAAATGACTTTGCCAAATACTAAGATGGGCAGTTGAGGTTTTGTTCTACATTTGCTTTGTACAGGGGGGCCTGAAATATAAGAGAAAGAAAGAGTCTACAAAACCTCTGGACCCAACACACTTTAAAGTGTTTAAGGAAGCAAGCAAAAACATTGTTATAGTGCTCATGCTTTATCAGCACTGAATTGATTCAAGATTGTCTATAAGCTGCCTAGGCATAAATATACAACATAATTTTTCATTTACTGAATTAATTTCACCATTCCACCAAGGAGCTCAGGATAATGAATATTCACATTTTATCCTTCCAATCTAAGGCTGGTCTGAGATCATCCAGCGAACTCCCTGAAGAGGCAATTGGAAATTGATTTTTCTGACCAAGCCACCGTATCAAAGGCCTTTCATGTTGTCCCAATTCTAATATTAACTTTAATATCTCCAGCTCCCAGCCCTCATCTCAAGAGCTACTTCATTCATCAGAAGGGGTGTGGATGACGTTGCCATTAGCCTACTCCTTTGCCATTTAGCAGCATTTTCCAGGATTCACTACTGAGGCCTGAGCAGGGCATTTACCCATCTCTTCAGCAGTCCCAAAGAAATGCCTTAAAGTAAGTAATAAGACTCCTCCTTCAGCCTGAGATTTCATCATCTTCTAAGATCAAATCGCCAATGCAACTGACAGCCTCACTTGCCCTAAGAGACTTTTTGTGGATATCTAGAGATTCTGGACACATTGGGAGAATTACTGCAGTTTCTCTATCTATTCTCTCCTGTAATTTCCAGTTGTTTAGTTTAAGTTTCAACATACCACACACACAATAATGATGGAGAGGATAGATAGGCTCTGTAGTTAACTGTCCATAATAGTGTACAGTGCATAAAAGTGTATGTATACAACATCTGAGTCCTTATTTAAGGCCACCTCTCTGGATCTTCACTAGAGTTCTATCAAAACTTAAGTTCTCATCATCCCAAATGAAATCACCACCACCACAGAAGGATCCACATCTCTGCATACCTTCCGCATGCTTCTCATAACACTAAACTTCTGTGTGTCGATGAAACTCTCCAACATGACCCTGATGGCCATGTTGACATCGTCTTCCACCACATAATCCCGCAGGTGCATGCGGGCATGGGCCTCCGCCATTCGGATCATGGACTCTATGTGACGCACTGTAATGGGGATACTTCCAGTTGCCTGCAGAAAGAAAAGTGAAGGGCTTTGATGACTGATACCAGCAATGCAAAAAGGGCACCCCAGGAACGGCATGTGACTTGCCAGCATCCCTTTTGTGTTCCCATCAGCCCCACCTAAATGTGCCCCAAAATGTAGTTGGGGAGTTCTGAAGAGGATCAGAGGATGCCTTAAAGACTGACAGGATTAAGGCACCCACTTTACCTCTTAAAACAACTGACCCTTTTCCATAGTGGGCCCTATCCTCACCCAATTTTAGAGTGTGGCCCTTGATCTGCCACACAAAGTGATTCTGAAACTGACAGAAATGGTACACTTCTAGGTTACAACCTGCTTTTCTCCTCTGGGGAGCTATTAATGCTGCATAAAGCCAATTAAAAACTTATACAGGCGCACAGAAGATAGTAAATAGGAAGTCAAGCAGACAAAGAAGTGTGTTTAAAAGGCATCTATGTCTAAGGGAGGAGGCTGCCATCTGCTGGCAGACTAGTGCATTGCACAGAAGATAGAAAATATGCCTCCTTAGGGGCTGCCCCCACTTCTTTTTCTGGGAATCAGGACCTTCCACTTCATCCAAGCCCTTTTTGCTTTATCCTTCAGCTGAGGTCCAGCCAAAATGCCACCAGCTTTATCTATTAGGCAGCATATCAAAACAAATAAACAGACAAACCCCAAGGATGGGAGAATAAAGTTCAAATGTCAGGTTAGATGTTTCTGTAACTCAAAGCCAATTTTAACACAGAGGTTATAGACTGATGAAGTAGTTAGCAGCAGATATTTTGGTGAACAATTGTATCTACCATTCAGGGACAAATTAACTAGTAAAGCATTCTGAAGAACTCAGAGGCTTGTATATTCTTTGGGTGGGTTCTAATAAAGCTAGTGCTCAATTATAGATTCGGGATCTTTTTTCATGAACTGATGTAATTATGGTTGCTTCTAAGAAGTTCCATAAACTTCAGACTCATTGGGATCCAACAGTTCTTCCAGCCCCATTTAACTGGTGAGAGAGGCAGTGATTCTGCAGTTAACAGCCTCCCTCTGAAACGTAGGATTTTTAACCTCCCTGGTTGCTTACCATGGATTCTTTCCTGAGTTCACTGTACATCCTGGCCACTTTGTCCTGGTCCATCTGGTTGAGTTTGGGATGGACTTTTTCCTTTGCGTAAATAATATATTTCTTCAGGACCTCCTGTGGAATGGGTTCTACGCCATAAGTATTAGGGAGGGTAATCTCTTGAGACTCTCCATTTACTGGATCCTTGCTGTTTGGATGATGCTTGATGTGGCTACTGACAACAAACCGAGCCAGCATCTCATCCTTCCGGAAGGAATTGGAAAAAGAAAACAAACAAACCCAACTTATATTATTTGCTATATGACAATCTAAAATTCCCCAGATCGCCTAACCCTGATCCAATAATGAATGGATGCCTTGACAAGAACAAGACCTCATTTCTAAATAAACACAGGCAGTCCTTGACTTAATCCCATAGTCATTCGGTGAGGCAACTTCCTCCTGACTTCCCACAACCAAAGTCAATGGGGAAGCTGGCAGGAAATTACAAGTACTAGGCCAGCAGGTAGGTAAGTGGCTGCTGCTGGATGGGGGAGGGGGCGCAGGGGTACAGTGGAGGCACTGCAAGGGTGGGGGAGGGTGCGTGTGGCTGCAGTGGGGGTCAGGGAGGGTGCATGAGTGTGTGTCAGAGGTGCCATGTGGGGAGGGTGTGCAAGAGGTGCAGTGGGGGTCAGGAAGGGTGTGTGGGGGTGCAAGAGTGGCCGGCATTGTGTGAATGCAGAGGGGCTGGGGGAGGATGTGTGGAGACTTACCCAAGCGACTTGTGACCTTCCCTTCTGGCTTCCCCATTGACTTTCTGAGGAAGCTGGCAGGGAAGGTTGCAAATGGCGATCACGTGATCGTGGGGCACTGCAACCAGTCATAAGTGTGAACCAGTTGCCAAGTGCCCAGATCGCGATTATGTGACCACAGGGATGCTGGGATGGCTGGAACTCCGAGGACTGGTCATAACCACCATTCCTTCAGCACTGTTGGAATTTGAACAGTTGCTGACCAAACGGTTGTAGGTCAGGGACTACCTGTATTTACCAAAGTGTTCCTGTAAGCTCTAGTTTCCCAAGTCAGACAAGAGATCTATGGTATTAGCTAATTCCATCTCATGTACCTCCTTCTTCATTCAGCAAATATTAAAACGATAGTCTATTAATTAACCTTCCTCAAGTCTAATGTTCTGCAGAAGCTTATACCTGAACAGGATCCACAGTATCCCTGACCACACAGAGGATATCAAACCGAGATATGATGGGCTCGGTCAGATCAACGTTTTCCGAGAAAGTCAAAGAAGGGTCATAGCGCCCACCTAGAATAGGAAAAGAAGCATTTTTAAAGACAGTGCTGGATGCTGGCTCTTGTTCCTTTCTGTATCCAAAGAACAGGAAGTATAAAATAACACGTGGAATTTTTTGCCATTTTGAGTTTTTCTTTCGTGGGCCAGCAACACATACCTATTGGGTTGGCAGCAGCAATAACAGTGCAGCGAGCTTGTAGAGATGTGACAATGCCAGCCTTTGAGATGGAGATGCTCTGCTGCTCCATGGCTTCATGAATGCTGGTCCTATCCTGATCATTCATCTGAGGAATAGCAAAAGACGTTAAAGCTCCAACTCGCCCAAATAATAAATAAAGCGGAATCCAGATGTGCACATTCAAAGCAACTCAACCTCTTAACAGTTCAATAAAAGAATAGCATCAAATCCCTCTAGATATAGCAATATTACCAAGGACAGAAAGCATCTTCCAGCCTAGAATTGTTAATATTGAGTTTCGAGGCAGTTCTTCGCCTGTTCCCCTGATCTTTCTTTGAAGTGCAGATGCTCAGGATTGAGGTTGGGATCTTTTGTGTGTAAAGGATGTGTCTCACCACTGTGTTATGCTCTCTCCACTGTTTCTTCGTTTACAGATTTCACTACAGTAAAGAATCTGACAGCCAGCACCCCCCCACCAACTTTAATATTCTGAGCAGTTCTCCTCAGTCCCAGGTCTCAGGACTGAATCTTTCTAGATAGGGCCTGAAATCCAACTCCTCTTCCTTCTCCATCTCACTTTCTAGGTTCAAGGTCTTACACAGAGCAGCTTATGCTGTTTGGATCGGGATCTGCCTCGACCAAACTATGTCATACCTCCAAGCCAATACTTGCCTTGTCAAATTCGTCTATCAAGCACACCCCTCTGTCTGCCAGCACCAGGGCTCCAGCCTCCAGGGTCCATTCCTTGCTCACAGGATGTCTCTGCACATAGGCAGTTAGACCAACTGCAGAAGCACCCTGGCCAGTGGTGAATATCGCTCTGCTGGCTACTTTCTCCACATATTTGAGGAACTGAGACTTGGCTGTTCCAGGATCGCCACAAAGCAACATATTGATGTCCCCACGGACTTTATGTTTTCCTCCTATAGTGTTTCAGATGAAAAGAGCAGTGAGCCAAACTACAGCTGGCGCAATGAGACAAAATGTTAGATCAGAGCTTGGGAGACCTGAGATCAGATTGACTACTGAAGCTCACCCAGTGACCCTGAGCCAGGATAACCTAATTCATAGTGTTGCCCTGAACCTGGACTGCTGGATAAGGAAGAAAGAGAAACAAGTATGTGGCTTCTTCTGTTCTTCCTGGGAGGAGGGGCAGGATTATAGCAAAATATATAAAAAATAAAGCTCATTCATATACTTTAAAATGTCTGCTGGCCTTCTAGTAGTAGTAGTCAGGGCAAGTTACACACACACACACACAGAGTATATATCCCACCTTTATTATTTTTATAAATAACTCAAGGTGGTGAACATATGTAACACTCCTTCCTCCTCCTATTTAGTGATATGAAGAAATAAGTTGATTGAGGAATGGTCTGCTTTATTAATACCTCCCCACCCCAGTAAGTCTTTAAATTTTGATTAATAAGGGAAGACATCATACAAAGAACTGCAAAGAAAAAAATTCATTTAATAACTGATTCTGTACATTTCAGTACAAGGTGAATTTCTGATAAAACTGGGCAGATGGAAAAGGAAATGTGATGTATACGTACTTTATTACATATACTTATTTACAAACTAGATAAAACTGGGGGAGCTTAAGGTTAGACCTTTTTGGTGGGTGGGTTTTTTGTAAGTTTGTGTAAAGAATTGCTTTTGTCTTCTGGAATAAATTATCAAAATGGAGAATAGCTTATTAATAGGGAAATGTGCAACTGTAAAAATAAAAGATGAACATCTTTGCAAGCCATTTCTGTGAACTAGTACCTCTCCAATATAATGCAGCTGTAGCACACTGGAGGTATCCTGTCTAGCAGGTTAAGGCTCTTCATGTAAAAGCAGTGTTGATTGCAAAGCTTCTTTGGTCAACTTACCTGGATTTTTTGGTTCTCCTCCAAACAGAGCTAGAGCCAGCCCCCTTTTGATATCTTCATGCCCATAGATTGAAGGAGCAATGCTGGCAAAGATCTGGGAAAAGCAAAGACGCAGCAAACACATTTATTTCCTTCTGACTCCAACAGGGACTTTAAATATGAAAACAGTAGTATTACAATGGAAATCTGCTATTAAACCTAGAATGATTATATAGCAAAGTCACCAGGAGTCAATCTGGGGGGTCACGAATAGCAGGGCTTACACTGACTGCCTCCTTCTAGGACATTTTCAACTTCCTAGTCTAGACTACAGCCCTGGGATTTTCTGGTGGCCTCCCTAGAGGAGATGATTTTTAAAAGACAATTATGTCAGCTCTTATTAAATGCTAGCATTCTAGGAAAGGGGTAATAATGCAATTAGCTGGAAGAAATGTATAGTTTTGTGTTACATATCAATAAAAGCTGTGGAACCTTGATAAATAAAAGCTAGTGTTGAGCTGTAACTTACACACGAGGCTTTTTGAAAGAGTTTTCCCTGTTAACAGGTTGTGAAAGAAGTCTGTGAACAAGTCTTCTGAAGACCTTTTGGGCAAATCTTCTGAAGGGTCCTTCTGATTAACCTATGGGCAGAACTTATAAAGGGTTTTGTGGTCCACACCTAATGAAAAGGTATATATGTAGAAATAATAATATGGGAGAGGGGCTTAACATAAAAATGTTAACATCCTCTCTCCCTTTCTCTGCAGCTGGGCAGCTGAGACTATGCATATTTTGGGGTGGACTTAATTTAATTGGATCTAATTGTTAGCGCATACTGCTTTTCTGAGTATTATTCTACTTTCTGGGAGAAGCTTGTTAAGTTTTTATTATTGCTATTTAGCAATAATAAAATTATTTAATTACTTAGCTATTATTGCTCACCAAATGATCTGTTTTATGACTTACTCCAAGTATGGATAGTAAGTATTCCATGCATCAAAGCAGATAAAATGCAAACCAAACAGGTTCCATAGTAAAACTTTTGCAGAAGTGTCCATAACCCCTTGGAATCATCTTTGAACAGGAGGAAAACTGCTACTGCCATGGCAGGTTCTGCCCAGTAATCTCTGGAGCTTTCACTGTATTGAACTGGGACCCAGAAAACCAGAATGAATCTTGATTTCCAAACTCACTTTCTCTCCGATCTGCTCATCTTTGGACAGGCCTACAATAACTTTCATGTCCTCATCCGTAAGCTCCCCGACAGCCACCTTATTATCTTTCTTGGTGATGTGATTGGCCAGGATCACAGTTGCAAACACTGGAAACCCATTGGCAGTGTTCAAAGAACCATCATAATTATTATGGTATATTCCAGTTAGCTCCTAAAAGACAAGACCAAGATATTCTTTAGTCATTGGAACTAAATTAATTTAGGGAGGAGACAGACAGACAGACAGACAAAAAGAGGGAGAAAGGGAAAGGAGGAAGGAAGTTTTTAGGGAGAATGAACATGAGCAGACATCACAATGTTATATGTTATTAGTAAACTACCAAGAGAACAAATAGCTAATTATATTCAACACCATTTACTGTTAAGTGTTGGAAGAATTTGTATGTTATGGCCTTAGGATTTACTTTTTTATAATGCTGATGAAAAAACATTTTTGGGATGCATGCAGTACATTAACTCATTTAGAACTAACATTTGCAAGATACTAAAAAAATGCATAGATTAATTGAAACAATTCTGCTGAAGATACTATTCTTTGGAACTTCCTTTCACATTTCTAAGGGATCATATCCAGGGCTGAACTTACAACTGAGGGCCCAATGATGGGGTGGAATGATCATGCAGAGAAATAAAAAGGGAAATGAAAGGAACTGGAATGTGTAACACACAGACTAAAATATATGGCCATGCTGGGGGACTTCAGAAAGCCAAGTTATGCCTAGAGGCAGCCTTATTTTCATTAAAGCTCTTTCCTGAATTCTATGAATAGGAGTTGTGTTTAAGTTGTTGCCCATAGGCCTCAGTCACTGGACTTCCCTGCTTTTCCGGGCCCCATACTTACAATCTCATCCCCTGGCTTGCAACTGTCAACTAGGTCAGCCAGTAAAATGGCGTCCTTTGAGCGAGGTAGCCTGCCAGCTGCCACCTTCCCTGGGGTCTCCTGGATTTTGATGCGCTGATAGTTCTGGTAGACTGTCTGTAGGGACATCAAGCACCTGAAGTTAGGACTTTCATGGGAGTACAAAAAAGGCTCTGCAACCAAAATTCTTAGAATGTGCCTTAAACAATAAGCCACTAGACTCAAGGAGTTTTTTACAAGGCTGCTTTCCCTCACAAACTTCAGAAGATCAGGCAAGCTTGCATTTAACTACGAATAGACAAAGCTTCAGCACTTTGGAGACTCATCAGGGTATAACATGAATCTACATACAGTAGACTAACCTATCTTTCAACTCACCCCATAAAAGCTACACATTTGCTTTTATTTTGTTGAACAACTATTTTGGCCTTGAGACCCTCATTTGGAGTTTAGCTGGGGACTGAATGAACACACACCTTCCTTATTCCTTCCTTCCAATCAAAGCTCCTTATAAAGTGATTTTGCTCAGGATCATTGTAATCCTGAGGACCTCTCCATGGATTCTGCTTTGTTTCCTCCAATTTTCAGCTGATAAACCCGCAGAACTATTAGTAAGGATGCAGAGGTGGGGAGAGATCTGCCAGCTTCAGCAGGGTTACCGGGTTGGAAGAAGCAATGAATTCCCCTCCCCCATTTTCTTCAGCACCCCTGCTTAAGATGGCTGCCTCCCTCCTAATGGCAGTGAGATAGTAATCCTGACCCTAGGGCTGAGGAAACCTTGTCCTTTTTCCTGGAAATTGCTTCTCCATCATCATGGCTAGTAGAGAAGGAATGACCTATTCCCTTCACTTTCAGCTGATGACCGATGAGTTGAGTGCTAGGCAGAGAATGAGGAGGGATCCAGGGACTCCTCAGGCCATAGAAACAGCTGGGCAGCAGGTGGACCACAGGTTGCCACCCCTTGCTTTATGACAAAGAAATACCACTTGTTCAGGTGCTGGACATATGGTAAACATCAGATTCCATCCTGCAAGGCCATAGATATCTAACTGGCTGAAGGGAGAAGAGAAGCAGCAGCCATACCACAGCATGAGGCAATGCAATCTGTGTCAGTAGGGCTAGGTTAAATGAAATTACAGGGCCAAATTGCTTGACTGAGTTCAGCAAGGCTTGGATATGAACGCAGCATGATCATCTACAGCAAAAATAGGCAAACAGCACCTTCCAAACTCAGTCTGGTTATCCCAGAACTGCTCAAGATCCTCCCACGCTGAAATTCAGCAACAAATCTTATGCAGCTTTATTTTCCACTGATTTCCAGAAAAAAGTGGCTTACCAAAAAAAAAAAAAAAGGCTGGAACTCCTTTCCCACGCTGTCCTGCTTCCCAGGCCCTTGTCTGTCAACTATTCTACAGTGTATACTTATATGTATGTTTGTGTGTTTATGCATGTGTTCCTTGCCTCACTTCCAGCCCCAGAAATGTTGCCCACCCATGAGGCACAGCAAGGTAAACAGAGCCAGGAAAGTAAACCAACATGTTCATATTATCCGTTGCTGGGCAGGCAGGGGAAAAGCAGACTTTCAGATGTGGGGAGTCTACAGTTATACCATATCACTCTAAGTATTATTCCAGGAAGCAGCAAACACAGGATCTTCAGCAGACTGGGTCTCCAAGCAGAATGAATCCAGAATCAGCCTTTGTGTTTACTTACCCAAGAAAGATAGCTATTAGGGCTGGGCAACATTTATGATTTGAAGGCAAAGAGGTCCTTCAGAGGATGCAGCACCTGTCTGCCACTCCTTAAAGCAACCAAACCTCATCATGCAGTTGTCCTCCAGACACTTCTAAGAATTACGCAGTTTTAAACCGTCTGAACAAGATCACGTCCAAAGACGCGACAGGTCTCCTAATACCACACCAAGCACAGCTTACCTCTTCCATGTTGATTTCAAAGGGACCAACAGATTGACACTCTGGGCAAGATCCTGGTTTTATTTCTTGGTTCTGAGACTGTGAGAAAGGCCCCAAGACAAAGCTACATTTGGTACAATTGTACTTGACCATGCTGAGCTGGGGAAGAACCCCCGTACAGCTTGTCACAACCCCACTCGTCCGGATCAGCTGGTTCAGATGTAGCTGCCTATTAAAAGAAGCAGAAACAAGGCTAAAATGGGCAGGACTTCTCTATCCAACTATTAAAGATCCTTTACATCTCTGCAAAAGTTTGAGAAGCGATGCAGCTCATGAATTTGGGGGGGGGAAGGGAACTTAAATCAATAGTAGAGGGCTCTTTTTCAAGCAGTAGATCCCCGTTTTCATCTTCACGTTTCCAGTAAAAAAAAATGACCTCAGATAAGTATCTGCCTGAGACCTTGGGGACCAGCTGCCAGAGTAAACACCACAAACTAGCTTGGCATAAAGATTAAATGTTGGATTAACCTCAGCTATGGAAGCTGCTGGAAAACTTTGAGCTAGTTATACTCTTACAGCCCAACCTCCATTACAGGTCACTGTTGTGGGTTAAATTGGTGGAAGAAATGCTATATAGACTGCCTTGAATGCCAGGAGGAAAGACAGGATATAAATGTAATAAACCAAGAATTAACAATATGATTTGATTCAATATACAGTGGTTTCATACCCAATCAATTCAAGATGGCTTCTCCCTATGGTTCTATGCTCAAAAAGGGGATCTTGAATTTTTTAGCAGCAACTTCAGAAATTACAATACAGGTAGTCCTTGACTTACGACCACAATTGGGACCGAAATTCCATTGCTAAGTGATGCAGTCGTTAAGTGAGTCGCACCCAATTTTACGACTTTTGCTGCAGTCATTAAGCAAATCACGCAGTCATTAAACGAATCCAGCTTCCCCCATTGACTTGGCTTGCTGGAAGCCCCTGGGAAGGTTGCAGATGGCAATCACACAATCCTGGGATGCTGCAACTGTCATAAATACATACCAGTTACCAAGCACCTGAATTTTGGTCACTTGACTGTGGGAATGCTGCAATGGTCATAAGCACAAGGACCAGTCATAAGTCACTTTTTTCAGTGCCATTGTAACTTCAAACGGTTGTTAAATGAATGGTCACAAGTCTAGGACTACCTGTACTTCCAGAGCAACAAAATAATTTTAACCACGTTATTTTCATGATATAACTCAGTTTTCAGACTTGGGAGGTACTTCTGTTTGGGAACATTTAATATGCAGCACTGAATTGTCTCTTCATTTTTGTCCTTAATGCAGTCACTGCTACAAGAGATCTACTCAATAGTTTTTTATCAGCTGGATCACTTACATCCTAACCAATTATGGGTCATAAATCAAAGAGCCTCTCCTTGATAGGTTTTGTCAGCGCTGCCAACCTCCAATACTAAACTGCATTCTTACCTAAGTGACCGTAACTCCTCCACTAGAGGCAGATGTGAGATGCGGACATGGATTTCCTGAGCAATCCGGTCATATTTGGGATACATAGCCAATACTACTTCCTTGGCTGCTTCATCAAAGATCCTCAACATCTCAGCTGGGGCTTCGGGGAGGAAATAGGCAAGGACATGTTCCCGGGCAGCCAAATCTTCATAGTTCACCACCAGGCTCTCTCTGTTCTCTGCCAAGATAAGAATTTTTTATCCAGACATGGCCTACCACTGCAGAAATGGAAAATGCTGAGTTTATTGGGCTTCCTCCAAAATATATTTGCAGTCTTTATAGGGTAGTCCTTCTCGTGTCTCATTTGACCTCCTGTATTTTTTTAAAAAACAATTATGGTTTGGTGTGAAAACAGTTGTCAGCTTTTACTGAAGGAACTTTGTTTATAATGGCCAAGAAAAATGAACATTAAGAATACTACAGGTATCACTATAATACATGTGTTCCTTAAAACCTGCTAGCTGATATTTTAGCAACTAAAACACTGGCACTGTAATTCAAGAGAATCAGTTAAATAGTTATTCTATAATTCCTGCAACACAATTCACCCACAAAAAAAGTACAGAGGTAGGGAGGAAAGAGAAAGTGCAGCCACAACAGATATAGCTCTAACCATGGGAAAGGCAGTTAAATTGATATATTTCCCACAAGAAAGATTGTGTTTATTCTGTAAAGGAATCTTAAGTGGTTTGCTAGGAGCCATCTGAATAGTACAATCAGGAACCTTGGTGATAAGTCACCTACTAGCTCTGATCATGTGGTTTGAGTTATAATGTAGGTTAAAATATATCTCAAGGCAGTGGCTGAGCTCATACAATGCACTAAGCCATTATGTGGTTTGTGGTTTAGCATGTTGTGTGAATCCAGTCACTAGGGTTTATAAACCATGATATTTGGCTTACAAAGTTGTATTAATTGTGATCTAATTTGAAAACTATGGCTTAGTGCAGTTATGAAACTGGTCAATTTGAGCCATCACCAGAAACATTTGAAACTAGCACTCTGCTAAAGAAACTACTTTTCTTGCATTCCCACAGATGTACCTTTACACATGTCACTGATCCTCTCTTTGAAGACATTATGACCATGATCATCCACATGGGTCTTTAGGAAGTTCTTGAAGCGATGGTAGATCTCAAGACGGGGAGCTGCCATGGACACCCATTCCCTCACTGAGTGCCCCTTCATGTCTTCCAGGTTCTCTATGCTTTCAATCATGTCTTCCTCCTCTTCTTCCATACCTTCGGCAGCCCGTTCTGCCAGGCGCCTCTTTCGCAAAGGACGATCCTCATCTTCATCATCACTCTCTAGAATTTTAAAGATGGGTAGGAGTAGAGGAAATAAAAAGGGATTATCAGACAACTGCATAAACAACTAATGACACCAAGCCAATTCTCTGAGACACAGCTGCTTAGATACATGTTTTTTATAGCTTTCCCCAAACTATCACCCCAAAAATATGTTGGACTTCAACCCCTATCATTCCCTGTTCAACATGATGCACATGCCTTATACAGACCTTGCTGCTACGGATAACTGCTCATTGGGGATCATGGAAGTTGTATTCCAATACATCTGGAGGGTACCATTTTGGGATCTGCTGATCTACTGATTTAATGCTATTTCAAGTATCAAGCAAAGAGCTTTTAATTTTCCCAAATTCTAAAAATTCGCTATTGTTTTTAATTCTTGATTTACAGTCGTGTGAAAAAAAAAACATGCCCTCTTTGAGTTCTATGGTTTTACATATCAGGACATAATAAAAATCATCTGGTCCTT